GAGCAGTCATGATGCTGACAACTTGGAGGAGGTAAAAAAAATAAAAAAAAGACCAGGCAGCTTTTATTAAAGGTGGTTCTTTACCTGAGAGCAAACTTCCAGAGTCACATTTTGTCCCTGATTTGATTTTCAGCTTTCATGATGCTTCATTCATTTAAACACACTGGCGATAAAGTGCTTTGAGAGCTGGATGTTAGACTCAAAAATAAACCACACCAAGGAAAAGAAGTATAAAATGTTTCTGTTCTAAAAATTCAAAACTGATATCTGACATTTTTATAGACTTCAAAGAAAGTCTATGAAACATGTTTTCAGAGGGGATTTAAAGGAAGCACCTGACTCTATGAGCCTGATGTTATTAGCCAGCTTGCTCCAGAGCCAAGGCCTTCTTTAACCCTCAGAGGCTGCAGAGTGAGCCGAGCTGTAGAAATAGTTCGGTCCTGGAGCAGACAAGAAGTCAGGGTCAGCTGGAACTGAAGCATCTGAGGTCACTGAGTGTGAAGCTGTTTGGGTGAAAATGTGGCATCTGTGCTCAAGAATATAAACAGCAAGTTACAGGGGACCTGGAGCCAATCCTGAGGTACCCCTCAGGTAACGTGAGTTAACAGGTCAGAATGAAAACAGGCACAGGGTTAAGGTTTTACTGTTACGCCATTCTCTAACAACACTCACAGGGCATTCTGGGGAACGTAGTCACTTCATTCAGTCACTGACCATATCATATTTAAAAAATTAGAACCTTAAATTTAAAACATTCTTTATCGTGATCATTAATTATTTTATTTTAATTATTTATTATTAATGATCTAGATTTTTCAGATTCAACCTTTTAATCGTAAAAAATAAAATAAATTTTGACCTCAGATTTTCACAGAAATTCTTTTTAAATCTGTATCGTGTCATTTTTGCCTTTTTATTTTTACTCCTTTTTTGTAACTCTTTATCCTGTCAAAGTCAGGTGTGCTCGGGTGTAAATGAGTAACATCATTTGTGTCCTTCAGTTTTCTGCGTTGGACCTGGAAGTGACGGACCGATCTGAGAGGTCTGACTCCAACACAGTGAGTTTGATTCTCTGAGGTCAGTTTACCTGCAGCTCGTTCTGGCCTCTGACCTCTGCCTGTGACCTCTGACCTATGCAGACTGTGGACGTGCCGCCTCTTCCTCCGGAGTCTTTGATTGCACCTGAAACCCAAGAGAAAAAGAAACTGCCCCTCATCAGGTCAGTGATCTCGCACAGCAACTAAATGAGAGCTAAGCCTCGCTCCCCGATGATGAGGTCTCACCTGGTTCTATGCCTGTGTGTCAGTGTGAAAGGTGAGATCCTGTGCAGTCAGAAGGACTTCAGGATCAACCTGTTCGTCCCAGGTGAGGGCGACATGATCCTGCTCACGTTCAGATCAGTTGCTTCCACTTCCCTGCCTCACAGTGACTTCGCTCAACTAGAGACCCAGCCCCCAGGTACACCTCACCTCACCTGTTCACCTTCATGACACATTTCCTCCCGCTTTTCTCCCCTTTTTTTTTCTTCTTGACTTTCACTACTTTGGTTTCTGATTTTTTTTTTTTACTTTTGACCTTCATGGCTCAGATGCTGTGGTTCCAGTGGATGTTGAAATGGGCAGAGCTGATGCTGAGGAGGGTGGAGGCGATGCAGCAGACGATTTCCTCCCCTTAGAGTTGGACAACATGGAGCAGGAGGAGGAGCATGTGGACAGATTGCAGGTGGAGGAGATTTCACTTGTTAGAATCACAGAACAGTTTCAGCCACCACCTCTTCATCTTCTTCTTCTCCTTGTGTAACTTCGGTGTCGTTGGTGTGTTTCAGGCTCCGAGTGATGGTCGAATGATCCGAGAGAGGCAACATATGGAAGCCAACAAACCGAGGAGAGAGGAGCCGATTCCTCCTGCTGTACGTTAATCTGCTTTAATCCCCCAGATTGCAGCTCAGTGTTCGCCACAGGAGCGTTTATTTTCCCCTAGTCAAAAATCTCACACACTTAAAGCACAACAGTACTTTTATTTTGAAAAAAATAGTTTTCATAAAGCTCCGGTTCCTCATTTTGTTTTCTAACTAGATTCATTAAATTTGACCTTTTTACTAGAGCTTCATTATGAAACATCTTTTTTTTTTTTTTTTTTTTTCTTCAGGTGAATGTTTGGGCGTTCCATGACCCATACGCCATGCTTGAGGAGGACAAACCACTGAAACCAGGTAACTATGGGGACCGCGTGGCGTGTTTCAGTATTCAGTCTGCAGGTGCTTACAGAGTTTTGCGTCTTCTGCAGGGAAGTGCTACAGAGTTCCTGACGGGCTGGACGACTGCGGGAAGAGGAAAAGGAAACGAGCCGCTTTCCTTCGGGACTTCAGGAGCTGGTTCAGAGGAACCTGTAAGAACAAACTGCTTGGAGCACTCATGTTCTTCCTGTGGACCCATTATCTGTTAACATGTCACTTCCTTTTTGTGGTTGTTTGTTTCAGTTGACCCTCCAGAGCACAAGTTGAAAAATGGACCCACATTTACAGGTAACAATAGGCTGAAAACTTTTCTGTGTCCAGAAAAAGACTTTTAATCTGAAGAGTTGAATTTATACTTCCTGTTAAATGAAGCTAAGACTTCCTGTTTTTCAGACCTCAACTACATCTACCTGAGCACGATCAAAGACAAACTCAAAAATCAGAAGAGGATGAACAGAAGAGCCGTAAGACGCACACACCATCATCCACGCTGACATCACAGTGATGTCAGCAGTGACATCAGCTGCGGTTCAGGTCGTTTTATCAGGGTCAGTGTTATTGTCAGATTATGACTCATTACTATCACATTTGTTATGTCACTCAGGGAGTGATGATGTCTGACGAGGAGCTGAAGAGGACCTTCCTACAGCCAGAGGGGGTGGGGCCTGGTCAACTGGGGGAGAAGCCTGTGGAAGAGTTGAGACAGCACCTGCTGGGTAACAGTCTTAGTGCTGGTCTGAGTTCAGGGTCATAAAAGCTGTTTGAGTGTGTTTGCGTTAAAGCCTGATATGTCTGTCTGAAGGTGGGGATGATGACGCCTCGGACAACGAGCACGACGCCTTTCCCGATGACGTCCCAGCCGAGTTTCTGGGTGGCCCGGAGCACATTTCACCTGGTAAAATGCTTCAGATTCAGACTGGAACTGATCGATCAGTTTCAATCAGTTCAGTATCGATACAGGAACAGTGGAACGTGTGTAATGATCTGATGCTGTTTGTGTCCGCAGAAGCTCACCGAGATGAACTGAGTTACGAGGATCTGGTGAAGCTGCGAGTGGTCAGTGATCAATATTATTATCTTCAGTAATGTTCAGTACATTCTGATCAATCATACTTGGAGCCTGTAAGGTTTGTTCCTACTGCTAGAAGCTACCCATGATCAGAAAAATCAAACTACTTATAACTCCGTCATGAAGAAGGTGAAGCTTTTATTTTGAATAGCAGGAAGTTGATTAACCCTTTGTGTGTGGGATTTAGGAGCAGCTAGTGGTAAACAGTCGTGGTTACACTCAGGAGACAGCACTGTCTCGGAGGGTCAAAGACTGGGAGGAGAAGATCCGCCCTGAGTTGGCACTGCAGGTAAAACCTGCTGAGCCCCATCCAGTAACTTAACCCAACTTCTGACTCAAACCCCTTCTGACTCTAAACCCCGCCTCTCCATTTTCCAGGAGGAACGCCCAGCATTTGACATCCATGATTACGGAGACCGCATCGTGAGAGCGCTGAGCGGCGTTGGATGCCGCAGAACGTTTGCAGCCATCGTTCATGGTCTAGACAACTTTGAAGCCTCAAAGTACCTGCTGGCCTCCCTGCAGCTGGTAAAACATCTGCACAGACATCAGCGATCAACCAATAACAGCACAGAGATCACACACATCAGACCACACTTACTTTAATGATCTGAGCACACTCAAATCCAAAGGAGGCATTTTGCGCGTTTTGTGACTAGTTTGGCCCAAACAGTGAACGTCACCTGTTCCAGTCAGGGATGTCATCAAATGATGATGAATTCTCTAAAAAGCATAAACGATAAACTGCAGCATTGATACGTTAATCTGGTGTCATAGTTACGGCTCTGCACACACAGTTCGGTACAAGGATGAGCGCAGCGCTGCAGGTGTTTAACATTCTGTTGCTGAATGTTTCCTGATGAGGTCATCCCATCGAACTGAATAAAACAACATGTTTGGTCCAATTAGTGTCAGGAGCTTTTACCATGGGACCACACAAAATATCCAGGCTTTATACAGAAGTAGATGATGTCACCATGTCCATCTTTTATATACAGTCTCTGTTTAGACCCACTATAGCATTCGCACTGGGTATCGTCACTGATTTCTATAACTGATTGGATTCAATTTGATTTAGACTCAGAAATATTTTAATTCTGATCTTTTATCAGTATATATACATATTTATGCATATTTATATCTATGCATTAAAAACAAAGCTAAGACTTGTGAGAATTCATCAGAGGTGGTCTCTGAATACACAGAGAGGCAGCTGTGCAGGAAGTGTGGTTTTTATTGTCCTGGGCACAAAAGAGGGAATTCATGACAATGTTTTTCAAACATAGAGCATAGTTTGGATCTTCTTTTGCTGCCGGTTCAATGAATTTTGGTCAGAGTGACGAAACCTGCAGCTTCAGAACTTGTGAGATATCAGCTTTCAGCAACGACAGCATGTCCGCATGTGCCGTTTACCTGCTCTCATTTGCTTTTTTAACTGTTTGGCAGTGGTTGAAATAGTTTTGTGAGCTTTAGCCTGGGATTCTGCTGTTGCCGGCAAAATACATTTATATTTAAAAATCGATTCAGGAATTAATGGATTGATACACTATTCAAATTGAAATCGATTTAAATAGGATAATTGATTTTTTTTTTTTTAAACCTGCCCCTATCGTGCATAGCTGTGTTCATTCCAGTGAACAGCAAGGTGTGTGTTTAGGGGTTTTACTGTGAAAAAGGTAAGGACAGGAAACTGGATCAGTCTGGTGGTTTTATTTTGAAAATCCTCCATGACAGAAGTGGTGCTTTTATTTCTTTAAATCCTCTGAGCTGGTTAAAGACAGACGAGAGTCTGATGAGCTCGCTGATCAGTAACAGAACAGCTGTCTGATCACTTTATTGATCAGTGACACCGTCAGAAGGTTGAAAGTCTGTTCTGATGAGTCTTCACTTCCTGTTGATGGATGGCTGCAGCTGATTGGTTGCTGATCATGACTCTCTACTTCCTGCAGGCAAACGACTACACGGTGGAGATCGACAGTTGTGCCAGTTTGGAGGGAAGTTTGGACACAATGGCTCTGACTCTACTGAGCACGCACAGAGCGACGGACAGATTTGCCACGCTGAAGGCCTGAATGCAGCACAAGCCGCTCTGACATCATCATGTAACGTTTAATCGATGATCAATGTTATTGAATTTTTGTAATAAAATGTTTGTCACTGTCTGCACTCTCTGTGTCTGTGGGGAAAATCTGATGGTAACAAGAAGCCAAAAAACAAAAACGCACGACCTTCTGACGAGAACCTGTCTGTCACTCACGCTTCATTAAAGTCCGCCATAATATAACTTGTTTCCACAGCAACATTACAGCTGATCAGTTTCCATGTGACCAGCATGATCTGCCCTATCGCTGACCTCTTCACAGGAATCGGCGAGGTCCTCACACCCTGAGGCCAATCTGACCTTTAACTATGAAAACTGACACTTTCTCAGAGAGCATGTCCCACTGCCATTTATGTGACAGACTGGAGGAAATGCCCAGCATGCACTTCTTCCAGCTGTAAACACACTTCATCCACACTGAGCAAGAGAGAAGTAAACTTAACCTGATAAACATCTCAGCTCCACATGGAAGCAGTCAGACTGCTTCACTTGTCTGAGGAACAGGAAGTCTGTCTAGGTGTCAACAGAGGAACACCTTAAACAGGAAATCTGTGTGTGTTCCTCTCCTGACACCAGGCCCCACACACACACACACACACACTGAAACCATCAGGCTGAGACAGGAAGTGAGGGAGCATGCTCTCTGGATTTTACATTGTTATTATCGACAAACTTTCACTTCAAACACGTTTACAGTTCTGTGTTACCATGGAGAAGTGTCCCGTTTTAGGACAAGAAGCAGTTTATCCCCCAGCTGTGAGTGGGGTTGTTATGAAAACAGTCTGTAATTGGTTGCTATATAGCCAGCGCTCACAGCGTGGCATAGTTTCTGATGTGTTTGCGGACACTGTCGGCGATCTGCTCATCACTCTTCATCCTGTTGTAGTAGTCGAGAAAGAGGCCGTCAGGGCTGACAAGGTAGATGAGGATAGTGTGGTCCACAATGTAGTCCCCATCCTCGTCTTTGGGCCCGGCGCTGGCGTACACTCTGTAGTCCCGCCCTGCGTGCTTCACCTCCTCGACCGTCCCCGTCAGCCCAATCAGCCGGGGATGGAAGTCTTTAACGTACCGGGCAAGCGCCGCCTCATCGTCCCGCTCTGGGTCTACAGTGATAAAAAGGGGCTGCACCGGCGGCAGCGAGGCGTCGCGGTCCAGAGTCATCACGACAGTGCTTAGCTTTTCCAGCTCTTCGGGGCAGATGTCAGGGCAGTGCGTGAAGCCAAAGTACAGCAGCACCCAGTTGCCCAGGAAGTCCTTCTTCGTCCGGCGGCACCCCGTGTGGTCCATGAGGCTGAAAGTGCCCTGCCCCAGCGCCACCTGCCGCAGCTGCTCCACTCGCTGCTGCTGCAGCTTCTGCTGTTTCTCTGAGTGCACAAACCACCACACACCCAGCAACCCGCCGCCGAACAACAGCGTAACCAGCAGCCGAGTCCGCAGCTTCATTTTAGCCACTACTGACGGCGACGAGTCCCGATCACCAGAGAGGAAGCGAGCCTGAGGAAGCCTGTCCTGCGGTGCTAGCTGCCACCTCAAACTCAGCACCGCCGAAGACACAAATGTCCTCCGGAGTGCCGCTCCTCCTCGCAGGTCACCCATGATGCACCGCAGCCCCAACATCTCCACCACCTGCTATAAGACAGGAAGACCAGATTATTTTATTATATTATTTATTCTGATCATTAATCTGTCAAATTATTGATTATAAAACATGTTTCACTTGTGTCTATTAAACTTTAGATCCGCTTATTTTATTTGAAGTCTGACTTCAGAAACACACTGAAACGCTAAGCTCAAAACATTATTTTAGTTTTAAAATTTTACCAAAATAAAATCCATTATCATCACGTGTTATTATTAGTTTCTGACATTCATAAAATAAATAAATAAATAAATAATTAGTTTAAATGTAAAATCTTGGCCCCTTTGGTCTTCCATACACTCATTACCCTTTTAATCGTCTTTGGGGATTTTTCCTGTTTTAGTGAAGTTAAACCCACGTGACACTGCCTTACCTAGACCCCAGACCTTCAGTAACTCTCAGGTGAGTTTACGTCCTCACCTGTTACTGACCGCGTCACGACGCTGTTACGTCACAGGACAAATGACGATAAACACATACAAATACCAGCCGAAGAGACACCCCACACACACACACACACACACACACACACACACACAACTGATGTCAGGACAGTGCTACAGGGTTTCCTGGTGACTGAAGGTTAAGGAGCACGCGGTTAGCCAAAAGCTAACTGAGTGTCGGCTCGGGATAATGCTAATGCACGAGCTGCTTTAGCCTCGTGAATTCAGCGAGTTCCAGTAAAAACGAGGTGCGGACTCACCTGTTTACCTTTTAGACCCCACACTAATGTGACCGGCTCCTGCCACACGTCCACCGAACACTCCTCCGGCTTCTGCTTCCTCTTCTATGGTGGTTTACCGCAAACATCGAGATGCAGTGCCGCCACCTGCTGGAGTGACGAAGCAGGACTCCTAAATCTACAACTGCACTTGTCTCCACCTTTAATCTTACAGAGAATGTGATGATTTCATGGATATTTAAAGTAAATACTGAGACAAATTTAGTAATCATGTTTTTACAGTCCTGTGGTCTCAGCCTTAGATACTTATCAAATCAAAGCCCATGTAGAAACAAACAAACAAATGAACAAAAATATGTTCTCCTTCATTTCTGTCAAGCAAAGCTGTATGAAACGTTTCCAGCTGTTAGTATCATGGTTGCTAGGCAACCTGGGCAGCGCGACCGAGGCTAGACCGTCCCATTTCAGAAGCCTCGCACTTCCGGCCTTAGCGGTCTTTGAGTGCGCGGCCCTTGTGGACCGTTAACGACGCGTACTTTAAGGCTGCAGACCCTGAATTGGGATACAGCCCTGGTGACACGTAATCTCCACAACAGCCTCTCTTCATTCATCATGTTTGTGTAAAATGTCTTTCATGTCATTATCAGCTGTAAGACTGGCTTCTTCCTCTGAATGGCGCCGTCCGACAACTGCAGATGCGCTCCACTTTAATCAAACAAACATCTGCACGTTCATTTTATCAGGAAATCATACAAAATCACAACTAACATAATTTATTACAGCTCCTGCAGTCAGAGCAGCTTTCGGGTAACCTGAGCTCAGAGTTCAGAACTTCACCTGAACGATGAGAACGGGGAAAAAAATCAAGAATTGAAACTAATCAGGTAAAAATACTCATGTTTCCGTGATTTCATCTCTAAATTAAATCAGAACGAGCGCTCAGAGGGGATTCTGACTGATCATTCAGGTTTTAACTCGTTTTTTAGGATTTAATCTAAGAAGCTGAAAATCATGGTTCACGTGCGTCCTCTAACCGTCCGTCTCGCGCAGCTCAGCTTCTTCTCTGCTGCGTCGCTCCATGTTTCTTTAATGAGCTCTAAGGGCAGCACAAACCGGCTGAAGCACCACTGAAGAAGGAACCAGGTCACATCGCAGCGCAAACACACAGCATGCACAGTGCACAGCTGATTTTCCTCTTATCATTCTTCTTCTTATTATTATTCTTATTATTCTTATTCTTATGTAACACACCCAAAGAAAGATTCTAGGTCTGACCAACCGTCTCGGTCGTGGGCAAAAAAATGACAGTCAATAAAATTCTAAAAGATAATTTATTGACAAAAAAATATCAAGAGATAAAAGATAAAACAGTCCAGTGTCCCATTTATGAATCGTATAAAAACACATAGTCCCAAGGCCAGAGCCAGCTATGCCACATGGCCAGTTGCACTCCGCGTGTTGCCTTTAACAGGGTTAGAAGTTGTCCTTGGAGACCCCTGCAAGCATATAGCCAGTGGTCACTCCAGCCTCTGCAACTCTGCTGCCTTTAGGTTGTGGCATATAATAGGCCCTGGCCTGCACAGAGAGACAAAATGACACATTCAGTATAAAATTCATAGCGCAAAACCCATCCATCCCAAACATATCTGATTTCTTTTCATCACATTACATACCTGCACAGAGAGACAAAATGACACAGCAGTGTTTGTAGTGTGGGCTATAAGTAGACCAGTGTATCAGTGCAATCAAGTACACCTTCCTCTAATTTGTCCAACCCCATTCCAGCCATTGGCTCACCAAAAATGTGACACACACACACAAAACCACTCCCAACCCAGTGCAACTTCACATAATAATATGGAGCTGAATTAACACAGGCACATTAGTCTACCATGTTACAATTATTATTATTATTATTATTATTTCCAGGTGCTGCAGTGGTTAGCACCGTTTCCTCACAGGACAAAGCCTCCAGTTTGGGGCGTCCTGATTGGCCGGTTCTTTCTGTGCCTGCCTGTGTTTCCTTCCTTTGTCCAATGACGTGAGTTTCAGGTCACCTGTGATTCTGACAGTGACGTGAGGGCTAAAAGCCAGTTTAAAGAGTCCAGCTGAGTGATTTAGAGCCTTTACATAACCCTGCAGTGCTGAGCACACACAGCATCTCTCACTGTGTTCACGTCCTGTTTGCACGTCCACACTAACACAGCACGTCTACAAACATCTTTGAGCTTCAGACAGAAGTAGAGACTCAGACAGCAGAGACGGTTTAATCTTTTACTCCCCTCCAAGTTTCAGAGTCTTCAGAGCCATCGTTTAAATGTAGAGTTTCAGATCTACAGTCACAAACTTTCACGAAGTTTCTAATAATAATGTGCTCAGTTTGAGCCAAAACATCAGGATGCAGATGCCGTTTTTTCTACTCTGGGATATCTGTGATGTCACACAGGGGGGGTGTCTTCGTCAGACCCATTAGCTTGTCTCTACTCCGCTCTCGAGGTTCTAACTCCTCATCAGGACTTATTTATTTTAAGATTATTTATTTATTTTACAGTTTGTTTTCTCAACCTTCACAGCTGCGAGAGGAAGCCAGGCAAAGGGCAGCCAATCAGAGGAAAGCTGCTTTCATGCAGTGGTTCTCCTGAAGGTGGTCCTGCAGTGGTCACACCCTACACCTTTTACCCTTCATCACCATAACAGAGTTTTTTTTTTTAAAAATACTAATTTGTTTATTTCTATTTATTTCACTTAGTTTGACTCCTCCCACCACCTGCAGAGGCCACCAGGGGGCTCAAGAACTGCTGGTTTTAAGGCAGGAGGTCATCAAGAGTTGCTGTTGTGTCGTTATGAAGTGAAAGCTCATCTGTGCTGTATCCCGTTTGCTGAATGTGGGTTCAGCGAGGCTGTCAGTCACAGAGCTGCTCTCAGAGGTTCTGGGAAAACTCTGAAACTGGGAATGAGCGGACTGGAAACCTCTTCACTGTAGATGTCAGTGATTCTGGTCTCTGTCTCTGTGGGGATTTTGAACCTTCAGGTGGAGTTTTAGTTTTAACCCTGCAGCTTCCTGGATCTTTGGGAGGTCGGTGCTCAGCTTTCATTTCCCTCCTCTCTCATCTTTGTGGCCTTTAATGTTATCCAGCCTGGATTTGTGTTGCCTAGCAACAGAAGTGAGCGAGTTTGCAGCGTTTCCATTTTCACCGGCAGTCGACTGAGAGCCAACGAGTCTTGCAGAGCGTCTGTGTCACCTTGTGTTAAATCTCTCCTGCAGGTGCGACCCAGAGACTTTCAGCTGAGACTAAAACCGCAGTGAAGCATTACTTTTAATGGGGAATAAGACAATTATTCCCCATTAAAACAATTATTAGACAGTTAATCAATACTGATATCAGTCTTTTTTTTCTGTATCAAGACTGAAATAAAATCAGTGTTTGTCATTATTGTGTTTGTTTTGCTTCACATGGCCTTGTTAGAGTTGAACACTGTTTCTGTCTGACCACTTGGTGAATCATAACCTGGGCCACAGAAATGTGATCCTTGTTATGTCTGCAGCTGCAGCCACTCACACGTCTTCAGTTTCACTGACTGCAGATCAGAGGCAGGAATGGGTTAATAAATGACGTCATGTAGGCTGATTGTGCATTCACATCATGGCCTCTGTCCGTCTGTAGCATGTAGTGACGTCACTCTGCATCACGCTGAGAGAGCAGCTGAGGAGGAAATATAGGACAACAGGAGGAGGAAGAGGAGGAGGAGGTCTGCAGCAAAGCCTGAAACCACAGAGAGTGGTTCAGAGACGAGCAGATCTGCATCAGGTACGTCTTCATCCTGCATGTATGTGTTGTGTTTGAGCAGCAGAAAAAGGTCATGCCACAGCCTGTTAGCTGATTCTAATGGAAGAGTTCAGCATTTTAAAACTGCAATGAGGCAGGGAGAGGATGTTCCAGCAGAAAATCCAAGGAATGACATTTAAACTTTTCCTTTATGAAGGCACAATGACAGGGAAACAGGGGGATTTCAGGCTTTATGGTCACAGTGCAAGCTCAACGAAATGACACAGACCAATGAATGAGGACTTTAATATCAGCAGCAGGACAGCACATACAGAGCACATATAGAGGGTGATGACATGGTGGTATTAATGTGTAATAGTGAGGATAAGATTGTAATCCAGCTCATGTCAGAGCTGCTCTCAGTGTAAAACCTTCAACATGAGGAGTTTCTGCAGATATATCAGATTAACATTGCTGAAGCTGTTCCTGTTTGTGCCTCAGTGTTCATGTTTGAGTTTCCACATCAGCTGGGAACTCTGAGGTGTTAAAGCTAATCGATGCTTCTGTATCAGCACTGTGTTCTCATCAGTCTTTTTGTCCTTCTTGATCGTGCTGTGTCTGTTTTTCTAGTCTTTTGTGTGTTTTGGAGTGTTTTGTAGAAGCCTGGCATCAGACAGAAATGTGTGCTGGTCCCTTTAAACTATCCCTGAACGGCTGCACTTACATGCAGAATGCATGAGTACTTGCAGTGTGACTGAAGGTTTCAAGTTATCTTTACATCCTTTCAATCGGGAAATGTGATGTGTGTTCTCGTCAGCGCTTCGTCCCTGAAAATATTTACAGTCAGAGTGTTTTAAAATCTCAGCAGATGAGCAGTTTGACATTCAGGTTTAAGTCATGAAATCAGGTGGATCGTTTCCTCTGAAGGGTTTAAACTTTAAATAAATATAATCTGAATACCAAGCTCCAGGTAAACACAACCGCAGCCTTAAATCTGACAGCCTTTCCCAACCAACCAATCTCTGGAGACCAACAAACCTCTCTAAACGATCATCAAAGGCCACACTGATGAAGAACAAGCACTGCACAGAACCGTAAAACACATTCCAAGATTAATAAATGAAGCTAGCACTGAAGCTCCAAACTAGCAGTTCTTCTAGTTTCCACTAGAGGCTCCAGGAGTGACCCAGGACCAATAGACTTCATTGTTAAAATAAACATGTTTACAGTCTGAGACGGGATAGAAACTGGTTTGTGCGCTGTACATAATTTCCCACTTCCTGAAACTATTTTACTTCTGTTACATCATAAAGATAAGTAAAAGGAAGTAAAAGACAGGAATGGGAAGAATAAGACATGCAGATGACATAGATTTATAAGCTGGAAAAGAAGGAGACTGCAAAAGTTTATCTGGGGTTCATATCAAATATAACGTCTGTATGGGGGGAAAATGTTTTTATAAGTCATATGTTTAATTTTACTAACAGGCCATCCAAGAAGTCTGAGCTCCAGTTTTGGTCACCAGTGAAATTCTAGGATTTTGATTGGATGTTACTGCACAGGTATTTGTGTCTGTGAGGCTCTGCCCTCTGAAAACAAAACATAGCACCTCATGGGTCAAAATGCTAAAACTGATGGCACAAAGCAAACAGCCGATAGCCCTCTTTTATTCACAGTCTGCTAAAGGTTAGCGCTATTTGTAGGTAACATACCAGCAAACTGAGAGTTAAGGGATTCAGTGGTCCAGGTGATCTCTGTGGTCAATTCTTATTTCAGTCATTTGTCATGAAGAGCGGTCCCAATTTATAACTGTATAGATGACACCAGCCGTCCATGGTAGCTGTTGATTGGTTCTTGTGGCAGTGGTGTCCGCAGAGAGATGCTGTGTTTGCTCCCCTCTCACTGAGGTTATGCGGGTTGGTGGTTAAAAGGCAGCAGAGCTGCAGAGTGAGACATGTGGAGATAGAGTGTGTGTTTGAGGCCTGCACGCTGCCCGCCTCCTCGTGATGCAGTATCTGTCGCAGCTCTCACCGCCTCTCCCTCCTCCCCCTGTGTTTCCCTCCCAGCTCCAGAAGGATGAAAGGGCTGCAGCGGCTCTCTCTACCCGGAGCGTGAGGACCCTTCCTGGGCTCCATCTGCCTCATTCTCTCCCCTCCTCACCCCTCTGGAGCTCTGACCCCCTCATCTCTATAGCTTCCCGTCAATCAGAGGAAACATGGATGCCTTCCGGCTGCCGCCTGTCATCGAGGAGGTCCTCGACCCATCCGGTCAGTCACTGTGTGTGCGTGTGTCTGTGTGAAGGGATAAGCATCAGAGTCTTCATTTTTAGTCCCATTTATTTTACCTTACATTTATTTTATCTTCACCTTGTTAATTATGTTCAGCACTTCCTGTTTCACATAAAAACCATAGAGGCTAGAACAAGGTGTAGACATTTCAAATGTGTGTCAGAGGTGCAGACTGAGGTGCACGCTGAAATTCAAATTATTACTTTTGATTTAAGAGAAACACGTTCTCCTTTATATGAAATATTATATTAGAATTATCTTATTTTATGGGATTTTAACTCTTTTGTTGTTTTTATGCTGATGGTACACACATTTAAAGGTGTTTTGCTGCCAGGTGAAGTCAGGTATATTCAGTTGTTTACTTTTTCCCTGCCCCTCACTTTAAATGATTTGCTGTTAATGATGCACCAGATTAAATAAAGGTTAAATCCAGCAGATGTCTCTGCAGCACAGCACACAAAAAAATTGGACATTGAGTAAATTTAGAGGATTTTAAAGTATTTAAAACAAGGATATTTGATAAAAACTGTTAACCTGCTTGAAAACCTCAGACAGTTTCGGTATTTATCTCCCACTAAAATAAAGGGTATGACTTTCAGTGACAAACAAGAAGAAACCTGGTTTATTAAGAAGAGCCCTGGTGGTCAAGTAAAGAAGTACATCATGGTTTTATAATCTTTTAAAATAAATATTGTTTTATTTGGAAACTCCTACAAAATAAGAGAAGTGTATTTTCATCTCTCTTTGTTAAAAATCCTCCTCTGCCTCTTCATTGTCTCCTTCCTCTCTGAGCAGATGAGCTCTGTGAGCTGAAGGAGGAGAAGCCCATCATGCTGGCAGATACCCTCACAGCCAAAGAGAGGGAGTCCCTTGAGGAGAAGGAGGAGACAGGGGGTGAAGGAGAGAAGGGGCAGGAGGAGGATGAGAAAGAGGTGAAGGAAGAGAAGTCTGAGGATGAGGAGGAAGGCGGCGATAAAGGTAAAGAAGAGGAGCTGGAGGAGCTGAAGGCTCAGGTGTTGCAGCTACTGCTGGAGCTGGAGGAGACACGGGAGGTGTCTCAGAGACATGAGGAGAGCTTCATGGAGCTACAGGGTGAGGAAACGTCACTTTGCTTCATATTCACGGTTGTTACTCCTTCTGCATCTCCTGTTATGCAGGAGCACAATCAAAACTGCTCCCAACAAACATAGAGGTTTACATCAGCTCTGTAACTTTCCTCTTATCTGTATTTCATTTTATTCAATTTAATAACGGTACAGTACTCTCTTTTTGGTAACCTTTGTCCTTGATGTAAATATGTGAAAACTGTGTATGTTTCTGTTCTGTGTCTTGTGTACTGTTTGTTTGTATATGTGTCTTTCTTGCTGCTGTTACACCCAAATTTCCCCATGTGGGACAATTAAAGGATTATTCTATTCTATTCTATATCATTTCTCCTTTCAAAGGTCTGTTAGAGGAGGAGCGGCTGGCCAGCGCCCACCAGGCCGAGAGCTTCACCCGGCAGATCCAAAGGCTGCAAGGTGAGCTCCTTCACCTCCCTGACTCTGACAGTATGACACTCTGATTCTCTGACACTCTGACACTGACTCACAGACTCTGACTCTCCGAGAGTCTGACACTCTGAGACTGTGAGTCTGACTCACTGTCTCTGACTCACTGACACTGACTCACTGACTGACTCTCTCTGGCTCTTTGACACTTTGACTCTCTGACACTGACTCTCTGATCTCTAAGACACTGACACTCTGAGACTCTGACTCACTGACTCTCTCTGACTTTCTGACTCGCTGTGACTTTCTGATCTCTCCGACTGTCTCTGACTATGACGCTCCGACTCTTTCTGACTCTGATTTTCTGATGCTCCCCGACTCTCTCTTGCTCTCTGACACTTTGACTCTCTGACTCTCTGACACTCTGACTCAGACTGACTTTCTGAGACACTGACTCTCTGAGACACTGACTCTCTGAGACAGTGACTCTGACTCTCTGACTCTGACTCTAAGACTCTGACTCACTAACTCTGATTCTCTCGGACTCTGACTCTTGGACTCACTGACACTGACTCACTGACTTTGACTCTCTCTCTGATTCTGACTCTCTGAGACTCTGACTCACTGACTCTGACTCTCTAACTCTCTGAGACTCTGAAACTGTGATATTGACTCTCACTCTAATTCTCTCACGCTGTCTGACTCATTCAGCCCAGCTGCGTTCAGTCCAGGAGGAGATGGACAGTCTGGAGGAGGAGAAGGAAAGCGAGCTGGAGGAGGTGCAGCAGGAGCTACGCTCAGCTCAAGAGGAGGTGCTAATGCTGCAGCAGGCAGCCGAGGAGGCAGCAGCAGAGAGAGAGAATGACATTGCCTCCCTTCAGGAAGAGCTATGCCGTCTGAGGGCGGAGCTACAGCGTCTGCACGCCACAACAGCCGAGTACGAACTTGAGGTGACAACACTGAGAGCTGAGCTGAGCATGAAGAGCCACAGCACACTGACACAGGGTAACTGCAACTAAACACAGTAACTATAACTCTAAGTAATATTAACCTGCATTATCTAAGGTTTAGTACTAGTAACTGTAACTAAGTAGGAGAACTGTAACTAACAGATGGGACCTTTATCACCTGAGATGAAGGAAACAAAGTGAACAAACATCTGATGCACCAATAATGCAGAGATGTAATAACGTGTTTGTTTCTTCATTAGAATCAATAAGACAATTATTAGTCAGTTAATCAATACTGATATCAGTCTTTGTCTACTGATACAGGTGAGGTCACTCAGCTGCAGGACGAGTTCAACTCTCTGACAGACCAACATCAGAATCTGACTAGTGACAACAAACAGCTGAACAACAAGGTGGAGGAACTGCAACAACAACAAGACGCGTGAGTGACCTGAGCAGCTTCAGTCAAAACATCCACCTACACCTGACACTGATTCTTAAAATGTGCGAAAATTCTTCAAGCTTGGGTTTTCTACCAGAGGCTTTTTTTGTGTGATAGACCCCACCCCCTGTGGATCTTGTGCTCAGAGCTTGTCTGATCATTTCCTAATAATATTTAAATTTACAATAATGAATTACACGGCAATGGGGAATAGATTTCATAACAGCAGATGTCTTTCTGAAAGCACTGTAACTAAGTTCAAGGTCTTGTTAATAATTTTACTTCTTCACTGTGTACGACTCTGCACAATGTGGCTCCTCTGAACAAGAAAGCACCAGATCACAAGAACTTGACTCCCTGGTGTAACTCTTAAACACAAACCTTAAAGATAACTTGTAAGCTGGAGAGGAAATGGCATATCACAAATTTAGAAGTTCATTATTTAGCCTGAAAAAATAGTTTGCTGCTTTATTGTTTTGAAAATGTCCCCCATAAAGCTAGAACGTCTCACTATTCATCATTGTTTGACGAAAATGAGAATAACCCCAGGTTTCTCTAAAGCACTGTAGCCAGGCTGACAAAAGGTTACAATTTATGTTCTTATGGCCTCTGACGGTGGACTTATCTCTGTGCTGGTCCTGCTAGACCACAGTGCAGCATTCGATAGTGTTGACCATAATATTTTATTATAGCGATTAGAACTTGACGTAAGTGTTACAAGTACTGCACTGCAGTGGTTTTAATTATATCTATCTAATGGACTCAAATTTGTTCATGTAAATGGAGAGTCGTCTTTACACACTAAGGTTGATTATGGAGTTCCACAGGGTTCTGTGCTAGGACCAATTCTATTTACATTATACATACTTCCTTTTGGCAGTATCACCAGAAGGTATAGCATACATTTTCACAGCTATGCAGATGACACCCAACTTTATCTATCCATGAAGCCAGATAACACACCAATTAGTTAAACTGCAGCAATGTCCTAAAGACATAAAATCCTGGATAACCACTAATTTAACGCTTTTAAATTTAGATAAAACTGAGGTTATTTTACTCTGCCCTGAAAATCTTAGAAATATGGTATATAACCAGATTCTTACTCTGGATGGCATTATCTTGGCCTCCAGTGACACTGTGAATCTTGGAGTCATTTTTGACCAGGATATGTCCTTCAGTGCGCATATTAAATAGATACAGATGTGGACAAAATTGTTGGTACCCTTCAGTCAATAAAAGAAAATCTCACAATGGTCACAGAAATAACCTTAATCTGACAAAAGTAATAATAAATAAAAATTCTATAAATGTCAACCAATGAAAGTCAGACATTGCTTTTCAACCATGCTTCAATAGAATTATTTAAAAAATAAATGCATGAAACAAACTACCAAAAGGCAACATTGCAGACATAGAGGGCAGCTACAAGTACCTGGGGATCCCACGGGCAAATGGGAACAATGAAGAGGCCGCTAGAAAAGCTGCAACCACCAAGTACCTGCAGAGGGCCAGGCAAGTCCTGAGGAGTCAGCTGAACGGTAAGAACAAGATCCGGGCTATCAGCACCTACACCCTGTCCATTATCAGGTACCCTGCTGGGGTAATAGGCTGGCCAAAGGAGGCGATAGAAGCCACTGACATCAGAACAAGGAAGCTCCTGACCATGCATGGAGGGTTTCACACCAAGTCCAGCACCCTGAGCCTGTACGCTAAGTGGAAGGAAGGAGGCTGGGGACTGGTGAGTGTCAGCACCACAGTCCAGGATGAGACAACAAACATCCTCGAATACATCAGCAAGATGGCCCCAACTGACCGAGTGCTCAGTGAAAACCTCAGGCAGCAGAAACCCAAGAATGAGGAGGAAGAGGAGGAACCATCGTGGAAGGACAGGCCCCTGCACGGTATGTACCACCGGCAGATAGAGGAGGTGGCTGATATCCAGAAATCCTACCAGTGGCTGGACAAAGCTGGACTGAAAGACAGCACAGAGGCACTAATCATAGCAGCACAGGATCAAGATCTGAGCACAAGATCCATAGAGGCTGGGGTCTATCACACCAGGCAAGACCCCAGGTTCAGGCTGTGTAAAGATGCCACTGAGACAATCCAGCACATAACAGCAAGGTGTAAAATGCTAGCAGGCAGGGCATACATGGAACGCCATAACCAAGTGGCCGGCATAGTATACAGAAACATCTGTGCCAAATACGGCCTGGAAGTCCCGAGGTCAAAATGGGAGACGCCCCCTAGGGTGGTGGAGAATGACCGAGCTAAGATCGTGAGGAACTTCCAGATACAGACTGACAAAATGGTGGTGGCTAACCAACCGGACATAGTGGTGGTAGACAAACAGAAGGAGACGTAGTGATAGACGTAGCGGTTCCGAATGGCAGCAACATCAGGAAGGAACACGAGAAGCTCGAGAAATACCAAGGGCTCAGAGAAGAGTTTGAGAAAATGTGGAGGGTGAAGGTAACGGTGGTCCCCGTGGTAATCGGAGCACTAGGTGCGGTGACTGCCTAACTAGGTGTGTAGCTCCAGCAGATCCCAGGAACAACATCGGAGATCTCTGTCCAGAAGAGCGCAGTCCTAGGAAGAGCTAAGATACTGCGCAGGACCCTCAAACGCCCAGGCCTCTGGTAGAGGACCTGAGCTTGAAGGATAAACCGCTTGCAGGGACGAGCGGGTATTTTTTTTTTTTTTAGGGTGTTATTATATATCTCACTTTGTCTCCTGAAGCTACTGTTCCAACAGATCTTCTGTCTAATGGCAAACAGGTGTGATGACGTGTATCTGGCAGTCAGAGCGGAGGGCAGTACTGAATATGAAAAGGACAACCAGGTGAAGGCGGACTCTTATATCACGGTGTTCCAGTCCAGACCTGAGCAGAAGGACTCATCTGATATACAGGAGGAGATCAGCATCCTGAAGGTCAAACTGAGACAAGCTGAGGAGACAGCGCAGAAGGTCCAGAGAGAGGTGAGAGGTGACTGCTGTTTATGAGCTAAAACATCTGGATGTTTACTACAGACGGACATCATATTTGGTCAGTTTAATCCAAAGACTGTTGACATCTTGAATTGCAAAGCTTTTGATTTTACCTTTAACAGTCATCTGTAGCAGCATGGCAAATTTCAGCATTTCAACATTAAAAAACAGGCAGTTGTAACTCGAATAGAATAGAAACATGCTTTACTGTCATGGTACATGTTTAATGAAATTGTGGGAAATTGTTCCCAGTATGTCTGTGAAGGTTCTCAGTCATCCAGGTCATCGTAGTCAAAGGAGCTTGGAAAGAAAAGCGTCTGGACTTCTTTAAGTTACTTGAAGACGTTTCACCTCTCATCCGAGAAACTTCTTCAGTTCTAAGGTCAAATGGTGGAGAGTCCCAGATATAAACCTAGTGGGAGTAACCCCCCACAGAGGGACAAAAGGACCCCCTGATGATCCTCTAATCGCCTGAGCCATGGTGTGAAACTGGGTGTGGGTCCCAATCAGCCAGAGTTTCGGGTGTGTTCATTGTGAAACCTGGCCCCACCTTATCATGCGACTTCCTGAGGTCAGATGGCCCAGGATGTGAGTGGGCGTTAAGGCGTCTGGGAAGGGATCTCAAAACTGGATTATAGATGGCAGAGAGTTGGTGTCGTAAACCCCCGCCTCTGTTCAAAGATGGTCGCTCACAGTGGACATAGATGGCTTCTTTCACTCCTCTTTCAAACCATCTGTCCATCTGTCCTCTGTCCAAAATGTGAACATTGGCATCCTCGAAAGAGTGTCCTCATGCTGTACAGTGCAGCGAGGAATGCTCAGACCTCTACATTGGAGAGACCAAACAGCCACTTCACAAGCGCATGGCACAACACAGAAGAGCCACCTCCACAGGACAAGACTCAGCAGTCCATCTGCATCTTAAGGATAAAGGACACTCTTTCGAGGATGCCAATGAGAGGTGAAACGTCTTCAAGCAACTTAAAGAAGTCCAGACGCTTTTCTTTGCAAGATCCTTTGACTGTTCCCAGTATGGAATCAGCATCTTCCAATAGTCTTCAGGTTTACAGACCAAAGAGGTCCTGACCTGCCCATAGTATCTTTGTCTCTTATATAAATATCTGTTATTGATTTGTTGTTGTGTTTCTTCTGTCCTTCCTTCAGTGTGAAGGTTTGAAAGGTGAGCTGGCCGAGCTTCAGCAGCTGTATGACTGCAGCCAGCGGGAGCGAGCGGCACTTGAACAGGAGCTGCAGCGCTGCAAGGCTGAGCTGCAAAAACTGGTGGGCAGGAAGTCACAGGTGAGAGGTCACAGGTAAAAGCCTCAGGTGCTTAGTGAAGTTGGGTATGTTACAATGTTAAAATGTTTCAGTACTGATAGATTATTTGGTCTCAAGTAACCATGCCTGACAGAGATTAGGGTTAAAACTCCCTCCCTCTGGAAAGGAAAGGGTGAGGTTTAGATTAACATAGCAGAACATTTTCAGGTAAGTGTTTAGAGAAAAAAAATCTGGTCCGTGCTCTGTCACATGACGCCTCTCTGTCTGTACTGTGTGCATGTTGGCCGGTAACAGCTAAGCCCAAACGCTCTCTGGATCATTTTGCTTTCAGCTCTGCTCGTGGCCGGTTTCTGACAGTTTTTCTGTGAGCTTCTAAATGTCTGTCGCTTCAGGGCACGTTGTCTTTTGTCTGGTCTTTCGCCTATATCGCACAGCCCTTGAAAATGAATTTCATACAAAAACAAAGAACACAGACATTTACAGCTCATCTGATATGGAACATCTTCTGCAAGACAGACCAGTCCAAACAGTTTGGGACTCTTTACTTTAACATCAGTAAATCAATTCTTCCCGGAGACTCCAAAACTTGAACAAATAAATTCCCCAGTTAGGTGACTCAGTATTGATCAACTGTCAATTTTTCACACCTTATGACTCAAATTGACTTGAGGGTTCACTAGGTAGGATGTGAAATTCAACTGATTTTCATTTTTCATAATGTCAAATGGATTAAAGAGATTGGAAACTTTAACAATCAGATGACCCCCCCCACCCCAAGGAGCAGCATTTGGTGTCAGTGAGGAGCAAAACTCCCGTCTAACAGGAAAAAACCTCCAGCCTAACCAGGATCAGGGAGGGGCAACCCATCTAGTCTGATATAGTTCCACATAAGAGGGGCCTTAAAGATGAAGGCTCTGCCTCCCATTCTACTTTTAAATACTCTAGGAACCACAAGTAAGCCTGCAGTGTGAGAACAAAGTGCTCTAATGTGGTGATATGGTACTATGAGGTTATTAAAATGACATGGGGCCTGATTATTTAAGAGCTTAAATGTGAAGAGCAGGATTTTAAATTCTGGATTCTTAACAGGGAGCAAATGAAGAGAGGCCACCTGTCAGTACTGTTGCTGCAGCATTTGGGTTCAACTGAAAGATTTTCAGGAAGTTCTTAGGGCATACAAATAACAAATTGCAGCAGTTCAACCTAGAAGTAATAAATACAATAACTAGCTTTTAGCGTCACTCTGAGACAGGATATTTCTAATTTTAGAGATATTGCAGAAATGGAAGACAGCAGTCCCACATATCTATTTAATATGCGCATTGAAGGACATATCCTGGTCAAAAATGACTCCAAGATTTCTCACAGTGTTACTGGAGGTCAAGTTTATGCCAGCCAGAGTAAGAATCTGGTTATATGCCATGTTTCTAAGGTTTTCAGGGCAGAGTACACTAACCTCAGTTTTATCTAAATCTACAACCATTAAATTAGTGGTTATCCAGCCTTTAAATTTTTAAGACAGTAATGTAGTTTTACTAATTGTTCTTTCTTATCTAGTTTCATGGACAGTTAAACTGGTATGGATTTTTGCATAGCTGTGAAAATCATAATCCTTTGTCCAAGTCAGCACTCAAGACCTGCTGTTTGACTTCACCCTTATCTGGATCTCCAGCCATGCTTTCAACACTCCTACTTGTAATTTGAAATGTAAACTGTAAAATTAAAAACTAAAACTACACAGAGTTTGGTTTTCTAAGACTTGCTGAGGAACTTTCCTGACTCGAGCATTTGCATTCACTAGTGCTGACATGAGGTTTGACTCAGAACTTGTTGTGGCACTTGCCTTTCTTTTCTTTGGACTTTGTAAACAGTGACCTGGTCCCCAATCCACTCCTCTTCATCAGATAATTCATTCAATTTCTTATCCACCATGCAGCACTGCAGGGGTGTCATTATTTTTGATAGTAGCAGCCTTTAACATTGACATTAGTTCCTCCTTCCCTTGGCAAAAATTAAATGGGATTTTTTCACAGGCCTCCAGAAAATATCACTTTGTGAAATATAAACATTTTAGGATGAATTTAGGATATTTTCACCGAGTGAGATATAAACTCACTTGTGAGAATACTAACGCTAGGCTAACAAACTTGTTAGGAAACACATCAACTTTTAAGATGGCTCTCTACAGCCAAAGCTGACCTGGTAGTTCTTACCCAAAAGCTCCTGCAGGGCTGCTGATGCTTCAGATTTGATCTCCAAAAGTCTTGAAATGACAAGATGCTGATGTTTTAATGTTAAAGACTTCAAACAAAACAAAACAAAAAAAACCTCACCATCTTGTCTTTAATTTTTCAGTTTCCTCACTTCATTTCCATTTTTTTGTCTGATTGCCGTCTCTTCTGTTTCACATGAAATTTACACGAGAAACTGAAAAATTCTCTGAAAATTTGATGAGTTTTCATGATCGACCTGCCTGCCTATCAGTCATTTCACATCAGATCATTCGTTTTCGTTTGCTCCCTGCTTGCCGTTCGCCCTCACGTCCTCTGACTTTATTATTCTGATTTTTTTATTTTCTCCTCTCTCCATACTCCCCACACTCCTACCTTCTGTCTTCTTCCCAGAACTGCACTCGCCAGTCTGAGCCCCCTGTTCTCTCCATCCCCTTCATAGGAATGATTGTAATAGTGGCCTTGATTTGGTGCTGGTGGGAGGAGCTGGCGTCTTAGATGGGACCAGGTATGGCCATGACCTTCTTCCTCTACCAGGCGCTTTCAAGGAAAACTGCCTCTGCATTTGTTTCCACAAATGAAGAAACAATTGCTTCAGATGAACCCCTCTGTCATTTAAAGAGTTTAAAAGTGGAAACCTCTGCCACCATGACTTCCCAATCTCTGTTCAAATCCAGGTTTTACTTGTTTGTTTGAACTGTAGTAGTACATCAGCCGTGCCGGGTGTTCCATCCTCCATCAGCCATGATTTTACATGCTCATGTCCCGACTGATTTAATGCTGGGCTCAGTTTGTTTTGTCAGGTTGCTTGAGTTTCTGTGAAGCAAATCAAATATGAAGGAAGGTTGGTGGTTCAATCCGCGTCTGCTTTCTATATGCCAAATATCTTTGGGCAACATACTAACCCCAAGTTGCTCTCAGATGCCTCCATCATCTGTGTTAATGTTAGATAGAAAACACTTGCATAGAAAGAAGCGCTTGTGCGAATGGGTGTGAATGTGTGAATGAGCCAAGTTGTGCAAAGTTAGCTCATAGTAGAAAAGCACTATATAAGAACCGGTCCATTTACCATCTGTCCATCAAAGAGCCCATAATAATGTAATCTTTACACTTTAATTCTTAGATTAATGTCAGAATTCCGAGAAAAAAAGTCAGAATTCTTACTTTTTTCTCGGAATTCTGGAAAACAAGAAAGAAAAAGATGTTCCCACTCTTTTTTTCCCCCAGTGGCCCTAATCCTCTTCCATACTTTTATCTTTTATATCTTTTTAAAGAAAATCTATTTCTTTATTTATCTTTTTTGTATTTTCTTTATCACCGAGGGCACCACTGTAATTTTTGTTATGTTCTAGCAACATAATGCCAGTAAAGAAAATCTTGAATCAGAAGAGTCTTTGCTTGTGACACAGCACGGACTTTTTCTGTAAGATTAAATATTTTCAGTTTATGTATGATTGCATCTTAGCATTGACTCTGTTTGTAATTGTGAGGCACAAAAAACGTCCTTCACCTTTCGCCTAAACACAGCCATACAGAGGTAGTTAGAAAAATACTGAATGACCTGCCACTCACTCTTCACTTGTGACCAGTACGAATGGATTCGCAGAACATCTAAAAGTTCCCAAACATCTTAAAGGCTCCACACTAAAACTTCGCTTATGGTCATATTCAGTATTTTTTGTTGTCAATTTGTGTGGGTTCTTTGCATATGTGTTTAGAATATGCAGAGGTTGAAGAGGCTCTGCTTCAGGGGCCACCTGATTTCTTCACCCCTCTGGACCAGATCCTACAAGCACATTCAAAATGTGGTGGGAGGTCAGAATGTAGTGCTCTTTTATAAAAAGTATTGTCCCCTTTTTTATAGACATTTCCATTATTTGGTGCATCCAAATGGAAAAGAACTGCAAAGTCAAAATAAAGTTTCAAACTCCATTTAAAGTTTCCAAAATATCCAGCATGTGGCTAAAACCTAATGTGCTTATAAATTAATTTTATTCTAACCTGTCTTGTCGTCTCCCGGCAGCGCGACTGTGAAGGCTGGAACCTGGCAGTGGTGGCAGTCGCCGTGGCAGCCATTGCTGTTCTGGTTGTCCCTAGTTTCACCAGGGCTTGAGGAGTACACAGGAAGCGACCTCACGGTGAACTGTAGGATTGTGGGATTGCCGTCATCCATCCAGTGCTGCCCTCATACATGTGACCATCCTGATGTCTGCTTGTTGCATCTCCACGACTCTTTGACCAAACGCCACAGACGTCAGTGAGTGCTGGAGGGGAAAGCAATAGGAATTCCCGACATCGTCTACTATGATTCTTTACTCTTCCTGCAGGTCAGCTCTGCGCAGATGGTCAAGCGGTTGATTTATTGAGTACTCACCATCACAGTTCAAGAGTTGAACAGAATATCTCATTTTGTTGTATCTTCCAGAAGTACCAGAAGTAGCTTGTCATGAGGTTCGTGAAGACAATGGACTAAGTTTCACTTTCGTGTTAGTGGATGCTACATATAAAAAAAAAAATGTCTCTACATTCAGTGTTAAAATGGAAAATATAAACTCATGGGGTGAAATGATCTAATTAACTTACTGATAAAACATGCTTACTTACTTGAATAGTTTTGGTGATTATTCATTAAAATGAGATTTGATCAAACAGCAGTCCAAAACAAAAGGCTCATTAATTTAAAGGCAACACTCTGAAAAAGTAGCACATTTTTACTTTAAAAATGACTTGAGTTATTATATTTTCCTTCAGCTTTAAAATTATTTGCCTTATTTCTGTCCTGGTGAGTTTAAGGAGTACTTTGCACTTACTGATAAAGGAGAAAACAGTAGCAGATAAAACTTGATTGTTTAGCGCTTCAAATACTGCCTTCCTTCCTTCTTAATGTTATACATCATCTGATCATGTATTTGTCAGAAACTTAACGCTGATTAACTTTAATCAGCGTTAAGTTTCAGCAGGTCTGGTTTGTAGCATGAAACACTGGGATTAGCTTTATTTTACCTTCCTCACTTCTTATAAATCCGTTTACATGTCTGGATTTCTGTTTTTCAAATGTGTAGTATGACTATCTATAAAAGTAAAATAGCACTTTAAAAATATATATATTTCCTAAAGCTCATTTCTAAAGAGAGATAATTTCTGTGGACTGATTACACTGTGTTTAAATTCAGATTGTGCCAGAGTTGTTTTTATTTTGCACAGTTAGGTGTAGCAGATGGTTTTCATTGATTTATTTATTGATTTATTTTTGAACAGACACTTTCCTCCTTCTCTGAAATAATGCTAAGGGGATTTTTTTGTTGTTCATTTTTAGCATGTTGTAGAAAATGTGATTAAAATCAAAACACAGCAAATGCTAGTGTTACTTAACATGCAAATTTTAGATTGTGTATGCAGATGACACTTTTCTTTATTTTTACGAAGAGCAGAGTTTGATCAAAACGTAATGAACTGAAAACTATAATGATTAAACAGAAAATTACTTTTTTACTAAAAAAGTCCAAATTTTATGCATGCAGATGATACATTATTTTACATCTAACAGTTGAGCACAATGCAGCAAAATGAATTTCATGAAAATTTGATTAATTGAAAAATGATAGAAGTTAAGCTCATATACAGTCCTAATCAAATAAGGGCACTGGGCAATATCTATTTACAAATAATAATGGAGGAGGACCAGAAATGATGTCATGTAGTGGAACACCTTTCACTGAATTCAAAATGACAGTGATAAGGACACAAAGTTTTATTTAGATTCCAACATTGAATATTGTTTTGTTTATTTTTTTTCTTCTGTAGAAATTAAAAACTGGGATGGATCTTGTCTGAAAGGGGCGGCAAAAATTCAGCATTTAATGTAAAACCCCAAAGAGAAGTCTGCATCTGCATTTTGGTTGATCAAACTTCTCAGATGCCTCAGATCATCCTTCTGAATAAACACGTCTTTTTCTGTAAGCTTTTGAATTTTTTTTACTGTGGGAGATACCCAAATACATCTCTTTTTTGCTTTTGCACACATTTCAAACTTTATGGTTCCTAAGTTATGTTTACATTTAAATAGAGACCAAATAATCCTAGAAAATAAGAATAAGCTGTTCAGATGACTGTGATCCCTTTCAGGGTGGAACAAGGTACTTCTGTCAAACTTGTTTCAGTAAGATAACAACTAGCTCAGACATTCCAGTTTCTTTACAACATATGGCACTGCAAATGAAGATTGAACTGTGACAAGTGTACTTGACTGAAGATATTAAGAGCATTAATTTGATAAAGCAGGGCTTTAACAAACTATGGGAATTTAAAATTAATAAAGGCTTATTAATTAATTTAAGATTATTTAAATTAATTAATAATTAAATCCGAAGTTTGATCAGGCTATTATACTGTATTGTTTAAAACAACTAGTAGCATGTGCTGTTAGGAGCTCCTATAAACATTTTGCATGACAAACACGTGTAGCCTACTTTAAAGACACTTGCTGAAGGAAAAACATATTTTACACATTTAACTGATGTTGTGAAGTTTTCTTAGTAATATGTGTAGGTCAGCTCCCAGCAGAAAAAAAAACAATAATATATATGAAAGGTTAGTCAAGATAAAGACTTAATTGCCACACAACTTTCACGGGGTAACTTTTTTAAATGTACTTATTTACTCAAATTAAAGGTATGAAAGCCCATTACTGCCAGAAAAGGGAAACCAGTTAGGAACAAAAAATTATTATCTCATTAATGTCACTAGCTAAGTCAACATTAATGAGATAATTAGACAGATGTTGAGTTGCACATTATTTAATCATTTTGATCAGTGAGTTTCAACTAATTTTATCTGATATTTTAGAACATAAAATACTAATAGTTATAACCTATATTTGACCTGCTAGTGTTTTTGGTATTTCCTGGGCTTGAATCTGGTTTTGTGTTGTATCGGGGCTCTCACTGTTTTTAGTGTTGCCTTTGCTGGTCTTGTGTTAAAAATGTGTCTGAAAATATGTAATTTATTCGAGACTTCCACGACCTTAACTGGCACTGAATCAATTCCTCCAGAATGTTTTTAAATCTGTGTTTTACTGTGAATACAAACTCGATACTATTTTTTTATTATTATGTCAGTAAAATTACAAAAATCTTCCTAAAAGCTGCATGCCGGTGTTCCTCTGTACCGTCTTGGTATCTTTGCTTTGATCAGGTGCTTTGTTCTGATTTTTCTTCCGCTTGGTTTCTTCTTTGTTCTGTTTTAAAGTGCATAATTTTCCTACAGCTTCTGTGATAATAAGTATGTGATAGTTTGTCAGATGTTTGCAAATCTAGCATTAAGAAGAGTCTGGGGGTGGACTGATTATTGGTTTCCTGATACATTAATATACAGCAGCACAACTCAGACTGTTTGTCCATTATGCAGAAATCACATCTGAATTTATAGAACAATTTAAAAAACTTTCTTTCATCTATTGTGTGAATATGGATTTACTTTGAAAACTTCTCAAACATCTGAGCTTCCTGTTAGGCCACCAAATCTCCTCTGATGGTTCTCGTATGTCTGTGTTGGAGTTATCTTGACAAAAGTCACAATAATATAATCAAAATACAAAATATGTCAGTTTATCTGCTGTTGTTTCTGCCACAGTAACTTGCACTTGATATCAATTTCTGGAGGTCTGTGATAGTTTTTATGTACTTCTGAAAACAGAACTAGTACTTATCTGATCCTTTTGTTGTTCTCTTTTCACAAAATTAAAATGTAAAAGTGAAAAGGCATATTTTGTTTTATCAGTGATATCCTGAATCCGTCCATCCTTAGCACAGTCCTGACAAACGTTAGCTCCCAGTAGGTATCTCCATCCTGCATGTTAGGTTTAGAGGAATAGTGACTTTGCATGAAATTAGAAGAGTAGATGTAGCCGCTGTAGCAGCTTCAGCCAAGCTGTAGCATGAGCGCTAAAATCCAATTCTTCCATTAGCTGATGCAGACTGTGTTATTAGCCAATTGTTTTTATGGTGGATTTTAGTTTCATCTGGGTTTAACCAAGCTGAGCATGAACACTGGAACCATGGGAGCACCTTAACATCTACATGATGGTTTACATTAAGTTTATGTGGCACACAGCTAAAGACATTGTCACTGAACTAGTTTAACTTATAGAACTACAAACAGTTTAACGCAACATGTTTTCCTGCTGGTTTCTAACTGGTGTTGTGTCGCGCAGCTGTGTCTAATGGAAATAGCAGTTTATTATTATAGTTATCTATCAGTAGCAGCTAGTTCAGCCTAATTTAGCACAAGTCCGTGTAGCTGCTGAAATACTGGCATGTTTTATTAGCTAAGTGATATTTTTGTTGTTATTAGCCACTGCAGGCATTACACTAGGTTCTTCTAGTACTGACAGGCATTGTTGTAGTTTTTTGTAACTGGTGTTTATAAAATTAGCTTAGCCTAGCTTAACATATGTTAGCCAGCATAACTAAAGATAGTATGCTAAATGTTTTTCCATATTTTGGGATTTATTTGGTAGTTAGCAATAGATTTATTCAACATCATGCTAGTTGGTATAAAAATGAATGTTGTGGTTTGTTGTTTTGTTTAGTTTTATTTTGTTTTGGGGGTGGGACAAGTGTTCATATGTTTAAACGTGATTAGCCAAGCTCAGCGTTGATTAGGATGTTAAACACATAGGGGGAAACTGCCAATGAGCTTTAAAAAAGAAAATACAGAAGACACTGATAGCTGTCAGTTTGCCCCTGAGTTCCAGCCTTTTTGCAAAGCTAGGTTCATCCTGGATGTATACTTAGACCACGGTGAAAAGATTTAAAAATGTCTGACTGTTTAAACTCCTCAGATTTCACTGCTGATTGTGCGTCAGGTGTTACTGTCAAGTATCAGGTGTGCTGTATGAACTCTGCTTCTACTTTGGCGTCCTGAATCTGAGCCGCAAAAAAGTGGAACATCACTGTCATCTGGCTGCTGTTTCTCTTCTTTGTTTTTGATCTCTGTTCTTGATGTTTTTGCACCATGATAACATCTGTCTGGGACTGTATTTTATGTTTGTTAAATGATCTAATACAAATAAACATAGTTTTCCTTGTCTTTCATGTGTTCAGCATTATGGTATATTTTCAGAATTACTGGTAAAAACAACCTTGAGACATTACATGCACCTGTTTCAACCATGCAATTATCTATTCAACCAATCACATGGCAGCAACTTATTGCGTTTAGGTATGTAGACATCGTGACAATGACCTGCTGAAGTGCTTGGTTGTTGGTGCTAGAGAGGCTGGTCTAAACTTGAAGCAACTGGGCTCCAGCAGCAGAAGACCTCACATGTACCACTTTTGTTCACTAATAACAGTAGGCTACAGAGAGGCTACAGTTTACACAGACTCACAAAAACTGGACAACAGAAGACAAAAAAACGTTTCCTGGTCTGATGATGATTCCTGCTAGTACAATCAGATGGTAAGTTTAGAGTTTGGTGAAAACAGCCATTATGAAGTCATTTATCAATCCTGCCTTATACCAGTATTTCAGGCTGCTGGTGGTGTGATGGTGTGAAGGATATTTTATTGACCCGCTTTTGTCACCTGAGCAACACAGTTTACAGTTTAAATACAGCATCGTAGCTGAGTATTGTTGCTGACCATGTCCATCCCTTTATGGCCATAGTATACCATGTTCTAATGCTCTATCTACTCTGTCATCTGATGCTGTGTCAGTTTCTGCTGTGAAACCTTGTGTCACCATCATAGTTGTGGCAGCTGTGTGGTGGATCAAACCAAATCAAAAGGTCTCATTAGAGCCAGAAAAGACCACAAAACCAGGAATGATTTAGGGCGGGGCTACCTAGTGGTCAAAAAGTTGCTTCATGGTGACATCATAATGGCTACTTCCATCGTCTTTATTCAGTTCATGGTGAAGGGGAAAAAAAGAGTAGGAATCAGGAGTGAAGTCATGACCGTAATAAGTGGTGATAACTCTGGTAAACTGTCTGCCCTGAGAGGATGATGAGTGTATCACGGCGGCACTCGCTGTTAAATTTAGTTTGGCTCCATATTTACACTTTAGATGTGAGCTGCTGTTTTCCTCTCGTGATATCTGAGCTGGACGCAGATATTTTCAGACTCACGGTGAGTCTGTATTCCTGTCTTGTGTTTTTATAGTAAGTCTCTAAACGTGACACACAGGAAATATGCCTGATGCCACACATTTTAACTCAAAACACTACTTTCATGTTTTCACACACATGTTCAACGAGCCCACGATTCCACAGCATGAATGCAGTGAGCCACTGTGCCACTTGTCACTTTTTAATCCACTCAACCCACTAGAATCATCACTGTGGACATTTTTTGTTTATAAAGACTATAGACTATGTACAGCCACAGCGAGCACATTTTAGGCTGATGTTCAACACAGTTGGAATAAAACCAGCAGCTCTTATAAAGCTGTAACTGCACACATCTGTATGTGATTATTGCAGAGCTGATCTTGGGTTTCACTCTGGGTCAAGTTCAGCTTGTTTCACGTAGAAGCAGACTGTGCTCAGCAGGGGGCGCTGCTGTTTACGTCAATAAATCTCTTCAGTTTGTTTTATTCTTCAAAAACGCAGCATGGAATTTTTCTTCCTCTCTCGCTTGCTTCAGTTTGCCGCGCCTCCATTTGGCAGCCAATGGAATTGCAAGAAGCAGCAACACCTCATTCAATTAACTGTAAACACCTAACCTCCATTGTAGTTACCATTAATTGTCATTAATCATTATCACAGAGCCTATTGTATTTTCAGATATGATATGTATTTCCAAACTGAAGTAAACTTTGATGTTTTTTATTTATGCTTTGTTGTTTAAATATCATGCAGTGATTTGATTCGCTGTCTGATGGTGATGTCATGTCCCTCCTCAGGGTGTCTCTCCAGGTTTGAGGACTCTAAAAATACCCGGAGGTGTCAGAGCGGCTGTGGAGCCCCGGGTCCGGCTGTCGGGGTGGGGTAGATGGGGGTGTCCTGGTTGGGGGTGTCCAGCGTGTCTCCACCCCCCTGTTCCGCGCCGACCAATGATCTGCGGTCTCGGTATCCTGCGGCTCGGAGGATGCCCGGGCCGCAGTAGTATATGGTCATGGCAGGGGCATTCCTGGGAGTCCTGCGCAGTGACGCCGAGCCTTTAAACCTCGCTTCACGCTCCCGCAGCTGCACAGCCCCACTCTGTCCACGACGCCACCCGCGTGTGACCACAGCCAAGCCAGCCGGAGGACAAAAGCAGACTATTCTTCACTCTTCCTCCCGAGCCTCCGCTTTCTCTGAGAGTGTGAGCCACAGGAGTGACCTCGGGTCTGCATGCGCGCCTCTTTACGCACAGCTCCGTGAAGCTCCCTCCCCGCGCGCTGGGCACTGCCCCTCCGCTTCCACTGCCCCCCGTTTCTCTTTTTTTTCTGCCTTTCCTTCTCTTCCCACTGCGCTCGGTTCTATAAAAGGCATGTCCATGATGAGCAACAACAGCTACTTGGAGCCCCAGCAGTTCTACCAGAGCACCGCGGACATCGGCGAGGAGGAGGAGGAGGAGATGCCGGCCACCGAGAAGGACCTAGCCGAGGACGCCCCGTGGAAGAAGATCCAGCAGAACACCTTCACTAGGTGGTGCAACGAGCACCTGAAGGTGATCAACAAACGCATCAACGACCTACAGAAGGACCTAAGCGATGGGCTAAAGTTAATAGGGCTGCTGGAGGTGCTAAGCCAGAAAAAGATGTACCGGAAGTACCACAGCAGACCCAACTTCAGGCAGATGAAGCTGGAGAACGTGTCCGTGGCGCTGGAGTTCCTGGAAAGGGAGCACATCAAATTGGTCTCCATCGGTGAGTGCGTAAAACCGAGACAGAGGCGCGTTTGGAGAGTTTTTACGCAAATTTTACGCACGGTGTGTATTTGTATGTGTGTGTGTGTGAGAGAGAGAGACCTGGAAACAGTCAGCCCAACTGCTGGTTTCTTTCATAAAAGGGGTTTTAACAAAGGTAATCACGTGTGGCATCGGTTTGTGACTGACAGGTCACAGGTGTGGCTCACAGGTGTGTGGAGATCCAGGTGTTCACAGCTGTTCAGTGCATACAGCTTCATCAGTGGATTCATTCAAAGAGTTTCTTATTTTTAAGGATAAAAAGTCAGAATTATTAAAGCCTGCTTTTAAATTTCACCCAAGTACAGAGTATGTGGTTTTTGCAAAAGGTCTCGGGAGGGCTCAGAGAAACTTGTTGAAACTTGAACCCTTCAAGAAATCCAAAAGTGTTTGGAACCCTCCAGAAGGACGTAAATCGGACTGCAGATGTCTTGGAGTGGATGTGAATGAGTGGCCAAGGTGTTGCAGGGTTTTATAAATCCTGAAGAAGTACAACTTTACTGCTCAGTCTGCAGACATGAAGTCCATGCTACTTAGTACAGCATTAAAAAACTAGTATAGATGAAGTTAAATGCACTAATCTGACTAAAGGACAGTATTTGCAGACACAGTGTGTTTGTGTTGCTGAATTCATTGTGCAGTGGTGTGTTGGAGTCTGTGTGCCATGGTTTTCAGTGTTTATATGAAGGTTTAGTTGTTAACAGACTCCTGTTGAGAGTAATTGTTCCCACTTCAGTCTGTCTGTAACTGTGCAGGACACAAAGACTAAGCAGGCTTACCTTCATTAAATGAAACATAGGTAGTAACAGTAATAATAACTTTGTTCATATAGCATGATTTAAAAAAAAAAATCAAAGACAGATGATCAAAAACATAAATAGCAAAATCAAAGGGAGACCCTGAAATAAAAGACGATAAATGAGAGAGAGGAAAAATCCACACACTGAAGAAAAAATCACAGCCAACAATTCTTCTTACATTCAATATCAGGATTAAACTGAGTTTAGACTGAGCTCGTCACAGTAACCGTCAGCTGGAAATCAATGCTTTAATTAAAGAAAATCACTTTTTGTAATTATGTCACATTTATTATAACTTAAGGAAAAACATGCTTCATTTTCATTCATTGAGCAGTTTTCAGTTTCGGGCTTTTGAATGTTTCTTGTATCGGATTAACAGAAAATACCCAGCTGTGTATTTAACTTGTGGACATCTGTCATATATTCATGGAAATAATATTAAAATATTTAAAGAAAAATACTGACATCACTAACGAGACATGGTGGTTAAGGCTAAAGGTGAAAGTTTTCCTCTGTCCAGCTGTGCGCTCAGCTCTGGAGATAAGTTTGTTTTCATGTGTTGTAGTTTTACTTTTGTTGGGGGTCTAACAGGACAAACTGAAGCTTGAGCTGCTGTTGTGAGTCTGCAGCTGATGGGGGGGCTGTTGGGGGGCTGCGAGGCCTGGAGGGCGCAGTTACTTGTTGGGGTTTTATGGGGTGGAGGGGGTGGAGGAGGTGGAGGAGCAGTGTGAGTAGGAGTTGATTGATAGCAGCACAGCTGAGCTCTGCTGTCCCTCAGCCAACAGCTGCTGAAAATAGACCCAGAGAATGCAGGGCCTCGCTAACCTGCTGAGGGGCCCGGGGGCAGAGACATGCTGAGGGCTCCTCAGGACCCCCTTATGCAGGGCAACATTTAATTAAACTTTGTTAATAAAATGCATATGCTTTTCTATTATTTTATAATAATTTTATATAGATAGATAGATAGATAGATAGATAGATAGATAGATAGATAGATAGATAGATAGATAGATAGATAGATAGATAATTATATATAAAAGGTCATTATAACCAACCACAGCTGACAGGCTTCATAAGAGGCCTGGCCTGGAGACAGCCACTTAATAATGTTTTAGCACTAGTAGTGGGGCCAACAGGAACTCATCATTGGTTAGCTAATATATGTGAGTTGCTTGTTGTGTCTGATACACAGATATTTGATGTGTGACAGGATGTGATCTGTAACCTGATTGGCTTGTTTCCAAACCTGAGGGGTGGGTGTATAAATGGTTAATGTGGTGTTTGTGTAGCTGAGGCTGCTGAGCTGAACTGCGCGTTTTCTCTAACCTGGATTCTTTCAGCCAAACTCCATTCAAATATCGGCTAATTTTACCTCCATGCCTCTCTGGCTGTGTCTCTGTAATAGTTGCCATGTGTTGCAGCAGTCAGCACACAGGAATGTTAAACTAAGGCCAGGACACCCCGCCCCTCCCTCCCCTCATAGTAACTCACTACACGCTGCTGATTTCTGAGCCGTGTTTCACATTAACTTCCTGTTACAGCTGAGGATATCCTACCTGACTGTGAGGTCACAGGTTAGACTGTACCTGTGCAGCGTTTATGTGAAAACGGTGATACCGAGTCTGTGTGTGGCAGCAATTCAGAGGTCAAAGGTCGGGTGGAATAGGAGACGAAGAGAGGTTCAATGTGGAGATGGTCATTTGTGGGAGAGGAAGTGTGAGTGTGGTATCGCCTCTCTTTTTAGGACGTACTGGGAGCTTCACTTTGTCACACTGTCGGCTTCATTAAGACCAAAATAACGAAGTCGAGTCTGAGCCTTTCTTGTGTGGGGGTGACGTCCTGCTGTCCTGAACCTTCAACCAGGATATAATAGTGAGAGTAAAAAGTCATACTAAAGAAAAACTCAAAGCTCCCAGCGGGACTCGAACCATGACCTCCAAAGAAGGGCTCCTTCCAAGCTCCTGATGAGGACGTCACAGGCTGTTATATAAGACACCCTCGTACTGTCCTGATCCTCCCTGCTGAACACTTCCTGTCAGGCACCGGCAAACACGAAACTAATGAGGAGGCTGTGGTCACGCCCCGTTTGGACTTTTATGTTTGCACTTTTTTTCTTTTGTTATGAGCTTGTTGGGTTTAGATGGTTTAATCTGCACCAGTAACCCACCTCTTTGAAGCTGTGGTGTGTTTGCACCTTCCTTCTCTCAGAGCTCCTGGAAACCTCAGAATCAATCTGTTATGAGTCAGCGGGACAGCTTTCATTAACGATGGCTCAGCATCTCTAAGTATCACTGAGGCAGCGTGACACCAGCTGGATGCTGGAAACTACATCAAAGGTCCAGCTTAACCAGATTAAAGTGAGCTTGTTTGGTCATTTCCAGATGTGGGAGCGTGTTTAAGCCACTGTTGGAGACAGATGTTTCAGTGCTGGGCGTCTACATGCTAGTTGGTCTTTGTTCCCTCTGAGCCTCACTGGGTATTTGTGAAGTTTGAGAGGAACAGCTGCACAAACAGCAGAAATCACCTCAAAACAGTTTAAACTAGCTGAGGGTGATGTGGGGGAGTAGGAGCCCATTACCAGATGAGCTAATAAGCAAAACTGGAGATGGTGGGGAGGAAGAACACCCTTTAAACTGGAAAACAGGAGGAGGATCAAGGAGGAGTACCTAACAATAAGATCAGCAAAATTTCAAATGGACTGCAGGGAAAGAATGAGATTTTTCAAAGCCCCGGACTTCCCCTGTGTGTGTGTGTGTGTGTGTGTGTGTGTGTGTGTGTGTGTGTGTGTGTGTGTGTGTGTGTGTGTTTGAGAGAAGAGAGATAGAGAGATAGAGAGATCTGGTGTGATCTGCTGACTGTCACACTGTAGACTCTGCAGTAAACGTCCAGTTTGAGTCTGAACAACAAAGACTCACTTTAGTTACTGCCCCCCCCAGACAGAGACCAACCACATGACAAGAGGGTGAGGGTGTGTGTGTGTTTGTGTGCATGTGTGTGTCAGCTGTCGCCACAGCTGTTGTGAAGCATTTGAAGCAGCAGCCGGAGCCTGAGCACATCGAGGGGAATGATGTGTTCAGGCTCCAGCTGAGTTATTATAAGTTATTGATTAGTGTGTGGTGTGTTGTATGTGTGTGTGCAAGATCTGGGGTATCTAACAATATCTAACAGTGGTACATTGGCTTTGCAGAGCTACATCCCTAAAAAATCAGACAGACTGAGAAAAGTTCCACGCTGGAGAGATTTGATCTCTCGGCTGGTTTGTGAACGCCTCCATGCTCATTGTCGTTGGAGGAGGAGGCTGGGCTTCTCTGCTTAGACTGCTGCCACTAGGATAAGAGAATAAGATGGATATGTGTGTGTGTGTGTGTGTGTGTGTGTGTGTGTGTGTGTGTGTGTGTGTGTGTGTGTACATACATATGTATATGTACATATATGTAGTAATGTGAAAAAATGCTTTAAACAAAGAATGCTTTCAGAAATATGAACGCTTGTTTATTTGCCCCAAATGTAGCCAAGCCAAAGTCATTAAGAATTATCTTAAGTGTAAAGAAGAACAAGAAGTACTGGAAGTAATGGCATGGTCCCCACAGAGCCCTGATCTCAACGTCATCGAGTGTGTCTGGGATTATATGAAGAGACAGAAGGATGTGAGGAAGCCAACATCCACAGAAGATCTGTGGTCAGTTCTCCAAGATGTTTGGCACAACCTACCAGCCGAGTTTCTTTAAAAACTGTGTGCAAGTGTACCTAGAAGAATTGATGCTGTTATGAAGCCAAAGCGTGGTCACACCAAATATTGATTTGATTTAGATTTCTCTTTTGTTTATTCACTGCATTTTGTTGATTGGTGAAAATAAATGATTAACACTTCCTTTTCTGAAAGCATTTTTTCTCTCATCTCCGTTCTTCCTCCTGATCGCCTCTCAGATCAGCACATTTCTCTTTGACCCACCTGTTTCTTTTGACCCTCACCTGCACTATAATCCAGTGGAGGGTGTCTTAAATTGCGGAATCTCACATGAAATCACGGCTTTATTCATATCAGCTCCAAACAGCCTCTGAGCCGTCTCACGTGTCGGGTTTCTCTGGGTGGTGTTGTCAGAAGGAAGGCGCCTTGATGAGGATGACACCGGAGCGTCACTGCTACACGAGGATATACCTC